TCTATTGTGCTCCTTTGTGAACAGAAAGAAGTGAACTCAAAATGCTTCAGACAAATCCATGAGAAATCATCAGCGTATCCAGTAAAAATCTCCATTATCATCATCAAAGAATGATCAAAAGTTTTACACGCAGCAATGGGAAACTTTAGAAGAAGCTATGCAAATGAACAAGGTCAAAAGAACTAGACAAAAGGTAGCTTCCACAGTCTCCTTCAATAAAGAGAAGAAAGAAATGTTGGATACATGTTACTGAAAAGGGAAGAATTGACATATGTACCAAACCCTTGAAAAGGAAAACACTTTGACGTTTGATTTGAGTGGTTGGAGCATGACAAACATTTGTACTTAAAAAATGTTGAAGATTGGATTTGACTGGTAGATATTTTTAACTTGTTGGAGCAGACACTTCAATTATAATATGTGCTTGAAGTGTTGACCTCAAAAGGATTGCATAATATAACGTGTTTAAAAGGTTAGAAACAGAAAAAAAAACTTAATTGATTTTAATATTTTGATTTGATTTAATAATTAAGTGATTATGTAATTTGTGATACAACCGTCGTTATGATTTGCCAGTAATATCAAAATCTTTGACGCAACAGTGTCCTGTTATTATGATATAATAATAAGAAGATCACGTTGAAGTACTGGTCAAATTAATTAAGTTTGATGTAAGAAATACAGAAATAAATATTTTAAATAAATTTTAATTATCAACCAAATTTAAAAATAATATTTTGAAGAAAATAATTTCTTTTATAAATAATAGACTTAATACCTATTTAGATTCCTCTCTAATTTTATAACTTTTGTTTAAAGTGGTCTAGATGTTCAAAATGGTCTTAATTTTTTAAATTTTTGTTTTATTTAGTTTTTTTCCTGCGCTTAAATTTTTAATGGTATAATGTCCATTTTTTCTCTAGTGATTCACCATTCTTACACCTTTCATCTTCGTTAACTACCACCATAGCTACAGACAGTTATTGTAAGCCACAATTATTCAAAATCGTAACCTTCCGTGAGCACCCAAAATCGCCAATCACATCCTGAACCTGTAATTCTAAATTGCAATGCCAGTTCACACAATCATAGATCTCCCTTTCCAAATCGCGACGAAACTTAACTACATTCATCACCCACAAAGTCATTTGTCATCTTCTCCAAACAAGAAAATCATAATCGCAAGTTCATCGCTTCGTAGCGTCATAGAGAAAACCACCACAAAATCGTGTCTCCTCCACACACACTATGAACCTCCACGAAACAACAACAACCTACAAATCGAAAACCCAAATTAGAAAACCCTAATATTTCACTGCCATGCGAAACCAAAAAATCCTAATTAATTCACAATCATGGGAAACCATAAGACCTTAATTGCTTCACTACCATGGGAAACCAGAAAACCCTAATAGCTTCACTGTCATGGATAACCAGAAAACTCTAATTGCTTCATTATCGCGGAAACCAGAAAACTCTAATTGTTTCATTGTCATGGGCAACCACGTCACACAAAATGGCAACCACGTCATTCATTGAGCCATTAATGATTTAGACTCTATTAGGAAAAAAAATACTAAATTGAACAAAAATTACAAAAATTAGGACCATTTGAACAAAAATTATAAAAATTAGAACCAAAATAGGTATTAAACCTATAAAATACATTAGGTTTAACAATTCAAACTGTCTTCGTTTTTGTTGAAAATCGCATATGGGTCCCTCAATTTTTTTTATTTCAATTGGGTTCTTATTTTTGAAAAATTTATCCAATATATTTGACATTAGTTCTGAGGGTGTCACGTGTTAGTGTGATTTTTTTTATTTTTTATAAATATTTTTTAATAATTTAATTTTTTCTTTTTTATATATTTTTAAAATTAAATAAATTTTTGTTACATGTCAAAATGATATTGTCACGTGACAATGACAATAACAATGTTACATATCACTGTGACGTGTTATTGTATTGATATCAATTTGTTATCTGTATTTTTATTTTGTTTCAATTCTAACTTTTTAAAATTAAATAATTTATTCATTCTCCAAATTAAAACAAAATTTTATTTATACATAAAATTTATACAAATACTTTTATTAAAATGGAAATTTTTATTATATAATTTTAACAAATTAGAAAAAATTCTGTAAATAAAACTATTTAACTTTTAGTTTTGTAGTGAGATTTTGTATACATGTAAATGATTGGTTAATAAAATTTAGACAAAATTATTATTCAATCCAATAAAAAAAGTTGAAGTAAGTAAAGTTTATATAGTTTTATAATTCATATTAATTAATTATTAATAAAATTGAATTACATTCAGCCAATTTTTAAAATACTTTTATTAAAATTTGTAATTTTTAAACGCTGGAATGCTTAAACCAATACATTATAAAGTTGGAGAAGAAATCAAAATAAAAAAACATAATATGACAGCTTCTCATGCAGTATCCATCTCATCCAAGATATCTACATCACATCATTGCTGTCATGTTTTCATTGTAATATGTCAATCCACCAATTTTTAAAATGATAAAAGCTTTGTCAATTTATATACGGAAGATTTTGCAAAGATTTTAATAGTTATTATATGATCATGAATTCCCTTGTGAATGGAAGTAGGTGAGATTAGAACGTTGGAAAAGTATTTCTGAAAAAGCAATTGTTTAAGAATGTGCTGCATCGTCTCATTCGGCTATATATAGAAAGAATAATTATTAAGGCTAATTGTTATGGAAAAAAAGAACTTTTACACTCTCACTCAAATGATGATAAATTATAGTTTCTGCAAGGGAATTAAAAATATATTATTTATTTGGATAATTTTATTTTGACATTAAATACAGTATTGTTGTTTAATTTCAATATATACAATCTCTAAATAGATATTGAAAAGAAAATTAAAAATCAATACTTCTTTAAAAATCTCGTCAAGAAATCATTTTGAAACTTTTTTTAGTACTGAATTAATGTAAAATAATTTGGAAATAAATAAATGATGGATCTTAATATAAAATATAAAAATTGTCTTACCTATGCAAATAAACAAAAATTAGTGAAAAGTTGACCAATTTTCTAATTAGAATACAACAATTAGATGACCCATTATACACTTTATTGTAAATGTTTATTATTTATTATTTTTATTTAATTTATTTCTCTTTTGAAAGAACAACATGAATGATTAATTGTTTATAAAACCATTTCTTTATATTTCACAAATGGAGTGTTTAATGGTGATGAGTTACTTGGTTCTAATGAAGTCAAAACGACGAAGACAAGGTATCATATCATAATTTAAATAAAACTAATGGATTATTATTTTTTTATTAAAATAATTTTAAATATTAGAATACTCATTACAAACTAGTTATCACATTAATTATTTTTCACAATACAACCTTTAAACAACATAACCTGAAAAATACATAGGATAATTAGTGTTAGACTTTGTTAGTTTGCTCAACAAGCAGTACTTAAAAGTATACTCGTCTAACAATTAGATAGGGTTGCTCAGCAAGATTATCTCTAAATCTTAAAGGCTTAAATATCACAAAAGTCATCCAATGGGACTTTTTTCGTCCAACCACTATCAAGTCAACAGAATATTCTTGACCAGTGAGGTTAATAACTCTCTGACTTTGAGCTCACCCACGGATCATATTATCGCCCAACAGAGGTTAAGTCAGTGAATCCTCTGACTTTGGTTTTGCGCAACGAGAATATCCAGTCCAACGACAACCAAGTTAGTAGCTCTCTGACTCTAACCTTGTCCCACGAATTAAACATAGCAAGAATTAAATCATCTTATCACTAAAGTTGATTCAACTTCCTAATCTTAACTCAATAGATTAAGTTTCATCAAATAATTCAATTTCAGAATTCAACTACCATACAAGCCTACAATTAGTAATTAAAACTTGTCTATCAATTAAAATCAAAGTATCTAGCTTCTCTTACCTTATAGATGACCAACAAGTTCTAAGGTCTTAAGACCAGTTCACAAGCCCATTATTCTCTCCATGCAAGATACCTTTCTTAGGCAATAATCTTACCACACTCCTCATGCACTATGCTTTATACTCTGAAAATGAAAAGAAACCTGCAAACTAAACACACCTAAGATCGGTCTGTCTTTTATTTTAATGTTGCTGCAAACAAAGATTTTAGGAGGAATTCTTGCTGCAGCTGGCCCAATATTCAGCTACCAGCTTAGAGAATGAAGAGTTGGTGTCCATTAGTCTCGAAGGCTCATCATATTCCACCATTTTCCCTACGAAACCATACAAAATATATCAGACAACTAACTGAGTAAGCAGTGTATAGAAAAAGGAGGAAAAAAGAATGAAAGAAGATACCATAGGAGAGGACCATAACCATATCACTGTCTATAACAGTGGGAACCCTGTGAGCCACTGTAATAACTGTGCATGCTTCAAACTCTTTTCTGATAATTCTTTGTAGAATTGCATCTGTGGCAGAGTCAATGGAGGCAGTGGCTTCATCCAGAACAAGAACTCTGTTCCTCTTAAGCAGTACTCTTCCAAGACAAAACAGTTGTCGTTGTCCCAAGCTCCAATTTCCACCTTCATCACTCACTGTATAACCATTCTCAATCAGACTTCAATGCCTAATTTCTTCCAAAATCTTAGTTTATGAATCAAAGACTTTTATTTTGGAAAAACAACTTGCAAGTTCAAATGTTATGCCTCATGATTTTAAACCTGAAAAGAGTAAAGCTGCAATAGATTTTTGCCAAAGGCTGCTGAGAGAATTGGCCAGAAAATTCCCACAACACATCTGTGGTTCTAAGTAAGTATGTGAAGTTTACTCACCCAGAGAGTCTAAGAGATTTGGAAGATGGCTGATAGTTTCCTTAAGCTGACATTTCTCTAAAGCCTATGTACAAATTAAACATAATCAAACACTTGTTTAGTACAAGCTCAAGCAAAACATAAAGGTGTTAAAAAAACAATTTTTAACAGCAGAACTAGTCCGTTTACCTTCCATATCTCATCATCTGAATACAGGCCTAAAGGGTCCAAGTTGGTTCTGATGCTGCCCTTGAAAAGAGTTGGTTCCTGAGGGATGATGCTTAGTTTCATTCTCAAATCCTTCAACCCCATTGAGCATATGTTAATCCCATCTATGAGAATGTCACCGCTTGCTGGCTCAACTAAGCGAAACAAAGCACTTATGAGTGTACTCTTTCCACTTCCGGTTCTTCCTACAACTCCCACTCTTCTCCCTTCTCTAAACGTGCAAGTGATACCCTTAAGCACTAATGGAGCATTCGGACGGTATCTAATCTGAGACCAGCGAAGGAAAATAGCCATCACAAAGAAGAAGATTTATCCATTTGACAGTATTAAAATAAAGAAAAAAGAATGAAATACAAGGATGAAAGTTTACTTCTAAGGCTTGAAGGTCAATCCTGCCTTTGGATGGCCATGAAGATGGAGGTTGGTGGTCCTTCAAAATAGCAGGAGGTTCTGATGGTAGGTGAATGAATTGCTTGATTCTTTCAACAGAGATAAGATAGTTTAATAGGTTGCAATACATTCGAGTCCAAAATATATGTGAATACGTTAAGGATAATGCGTAAGAGAGAGATAGTCCCACAAGACCTGCATAATCCAAGAAAATTTTGAACAGTTAAAAGCCTGTTAATAACATGCAAAAGCTTTATCTTGCTGATTAACCTGTGAAGTAATATTACCTGAGGACACGTATCCCTGAGGAAATAGAACAAGTAGCAAAGCTGAAGTGATGACTGTCAAATTTTGAAGTGCTTCAATCCTCAAAAGTAACCATTCCGTGGCCACATTAGAATGTAAAAACAGTGTTGCGTCTGTGTCTACAAGCTTTAAGTAGTTTTTAAAAAATCTTTCTACCATATCGAATGCTCTCACAGTAACAACACCAAGTGATGTTTCAGCTGCAAAATTCATCACAGGAGCTTTCGTGGTTCCATTGATCCTCATTAATTTCCTTGACGAGGCTTGATAATATTCCTTTCATGGAGGAGAAGATTTGGAAAAATTTAGCTGTGAGTTAAGCAGGGGACGAGAAATAAAAAACTAATTTTTTTTTAAAGTGGCTAAACCTGAACATATTTTGACGCAACTATTGCTGGAATGGCAGCAATGAGAACTGGCCATGTTACTAAAACCATTAGACCAATAATCACCAAAATTTCAATTGGTATACATGTTACAAAGGTGATCGAATAAGGTATGTCAAAATCCAAAATACTTAAATCTGATGAAGCCTGCAAGAGAGAAAAAGTGGATCAAAATTTTGAATATGAGTAAATGTTAATAATGATCAAACACAGGGAAATTGTTTAGATTTTTTTTTTCATTGGGAAATGAAATCTTGATCTTACTCTTGTTAAAATCCTTCCTATGGGGGTTGAGTCAAAGAAGAGCATAGGAGCATTGAAGATAGCAGTATTGAAACTTGTGAAGATAGCTTTGGAAGCATTTAATCCAAGGTAAGAGGTCAAGAGAGACCTTATATATGTAAACGCAGCACCAGAAAATGAAATTAATGCGTACACCCCAATCAAGATGGCACTAGTTATTTTTGGAATATCAATGGCTAAAGCAAGCCAAACCGTTGATGCAGTTTGCAAAGCAACAAAAGCACATTGTGCCAAAACTATATAAAACAGCATCAATGAACCCCTGGAAAAGGAAATATAATCCCAGAATGTCTTGAAGCCGACATCACCAATCTCTTTTTCTTCTTCTTGTGTAAGTTGCATCCCAAGTTGACCCTCCGTAGAAATCTCCCCCTCACTTTGGTATTTATAAACACCTTGAGACTCTTCTCTATGAATTCGGTTCTCATTATTCTGATCCAACTCTGTAATTGCTTCCTTGTGAGCGCTCACAAGTTGTTCAAAGGCAGTCCCAGTTGTTAAGAGATTCTCATACTTTCCTGATTCAGTAACTTTTCCACCTTCCATTACCTAGAATTTGAGTCAAAAAATATGGAGTTAATTATACACAAATGTAATGTAATAGGCATCCAAATGATGTACTTTACCAGGATTGTATCAACTTCTGAGAGAAACTCCACTTGATGTGTCACTAGAATGACTGTTTTTTCTCTTAGAGCCGTCATTACGCAGTCCTGTAACCATATAAATGCAAGTGGTTTGATTCATTTATGTGGTAATAACAGTTTCACTGAAGTTAAGAATCTAATTGTGATAGTTTCTTACTTTGAAAAGGATAGCAGCAGTGTGAGCATCAACTGCACTGAAAGGTTCATCGAGGAGATAAATGTCAGCATCATTGTAGACAGCACGAGCTAGTTGAATCCTTTGCTTTTGTCCTCCACTCATGTTAATCCCTCGCTGACCTATTTCTGTAAGATCACCATGGCTAAAATCATTGATATCCTTATCCAAGGCACAGACTCTAATGGCACTCTCGTATCTTGTTTTCTCCATTGGCTTGCCGAAGAGTATATTCTCTCGAACCGTCCCACTCTGTATCCAAGAAGTTTGAGAAACATATGCTATGTTTCCTAACACATTGACCTATTTTCCATCATTCAGAAATTTCATAAGACAATTAAATACAAAAAATAACAGCATGAATGACATGAGAACATAAAGCTAAACTTGTTTTGCTTAACTCACAGTTCCTGATATCTTGGAAATCTCTCCTAATATTGCATACAAAAGAGATGATTTTCCAGCTCCAACTGGCCCACAAACTGCAACTTTCTGTCCCCATTTGATTTCTAAATTCACATCTCTTAAAGTTGGCCTCACTGATTCATGGTCCCAAATGAAGTTGCCAGCTTGGATTTCTACCGCATTAATTGAACTTCGGTTTTTATAGCTTTTGTTACCAGCACTGGTATCTAGTTCTTCGTCAAACAAAAAGGTATTGAGACGATCAAAAGATACCTTAACTTGGATCATAACAGATAGAGCCTCCGGAATCATTCGAACAGGTTCTCCCAAGTTCCTCAACGTTGCAAGAACTGTAAATATGGTCCCGGCATTTAATGGAGCACTATTGAAAACAGCACAACCGATGAAAACAACAGCAGAAACGATGGTAGGAGACATCCAATATACAAGTGATCCATAAGCTTTCAACATCTGTGCCTTAGATAGCCAAATGAACTCTTTCGCACGTAGGTTCTCAACCAAACTCTTGAATTTGTCTTCCCAGGACTGTAACTTGATGATTTTCATGCTATTTAGAATTTCTGTAGTTGCTCTCAGACGCTCATCCTGTGAAATCATGAACTGTGCCATGCACTTTTGTAGGATCTTGGCAAATGGTACATTGAGAAGTCCACATATAAGAAGAGGAATTAAACCAGGAAGTGCACCTACTCCCACAACTCCATACAGGATACTGATAGATAGAAGAAGATGCAATGTACATGCCCATGTTAGATGAAACCACCATGGAAATTCTCCCATGCGATACGCATCAACAGCAATGTAATTCACAATTTCACCTGTCGAGTGTCTTGTCCTTGCTGAGTTTGAAAGCTTTAGTTGTTTTTCATACACTGCAACCATCAGAGCTGATCTCATCTTCAACCCCGACCTCCTGGTACAAAAAAACCAGTGTCTCTGTGACACAGATTCAACCACTTTGGAGAGAATAAGAAAACCCACTATGGTAAGACCTTCTCTGAGATCTGTCTCCCCGGAATCCCTACTATTTGAAAAGTTGACAAAAGCATAGAGTATTAAAGGAGAAAAAGTCACAGCAATGGTTCTGAGCAATGCGTAAACAGATATTAGCATGTTCTCTTTTAAGTGAGTTCTAACAATGGACCAAAACACCAAGTTCTTGGTGTTGTTCTTGCTTGTCTCCCTCGCAAGGGATTGCCATGCATGCATGAAGTTTTGGTGGGACAGGTGTGCCTTATCTTCAGAAAGAATGGAAGGGATGTCTTCAAGAGATAGTGGCTTTGAGTAACCCAAACTGAGTAAGGAGTTAACCCAAGAGAAAGTCAACTTGCTCAGAAAGGAAGCACGACCTAGTCCTGTTTCTTCTGTGTCAACTTCCCGAGCTAACAACGGTTCAGATAAACCTTTTGGCACATTTTGAATGACAAAGCAACCAAGGTTTTGGAAGGCACAGAAGAGAAGAAGCGTGTGTAAGAGCCATAGTAGGACATCGAAAATTTCTATTCCATGCTTTCTAAACAGAATTTCAATGTGGAGAGCCGAAACTAGTGCAAAGGAACATGCCCACCAGACAGAGTTTAGAATTTTGATCCATTTGTGTCCCTGAACAAGCAATGAAACTGCTAAAGAAGTCCAAACAAATCCTCGTACAACGCATGCTAACCAGCTGAGGTGGTTAGCCATGGAGTTCCCAGTTTTGGCTATGAGACTCCACAGGGCAATACTGTAAAACACAACGCTAGTGATCGCACAACAGATAGAGACAAAAAGGAAAAACCTGGTTTTGGTATGACTTCCATTTATAAAATTTCTTCTGATTAAAGTGACAATGGTGGAAGCGTAGAAGACACAGAGGAAAATTAGATTTATAGTGTCTATTGTGCTCCTTTGTGAACAGAAAGAAGTGAACTCAAAATGCTTCAGACAAATCCATGAGAAATCATCAGCGTATCCAGTAAAAATCTCCATCATCATCATCATCAAAGAATGATCAAGACTTTTAGACGAAGCAATGGGAAACTTTAGAAGAAGCTCTTCATGCAAATGAACAGGTCAAAGAACTAGACAAAAGACATCATTTGCGTGAAAAGGAAGCTTCCACAATCTCCTTCAAAGAACTTAGTGTTGTTGTGTGGCATCAATGGTGCAGAGAAGAAAGAAATTTTGGATACATGTACTGAAAAGGGAATTGACATAATCAGTGTGCACCTTCTTGTACAGACCCTTCCAAAGAAAAACACTTTCACGTTTGATTTGAGTGGTTGGAGCTTGCCCAACATTGCACTTCAAAAAATTTGGAGATTGGATTCGAGTGGTAGATATTTGTATCTTTTCGGAGCATGGTAAACATTGCACTTCAATTATAAAGGGTGAATTCACTTATAAAAGAGGGATTTGAAGGAGAGGGAGTGAATGGATTTGAGGAGATTTGAAGTTTGTGAAAATTAGTGTAATATTTTATGGTTGTGACAGATAAAAATATGGTTTAATTGATAGAAATTAATGATTATCAAAATGTCTTTTAGTAAAAGTAATATAAAATGATAATGGTTAATAATATATATAATTGTAAAAATTATTATAAGAAGAAAAAAATAAAAATTAATTTTTACAATGTAAAAAAATTGTATTTAAGTAAAGTGAAATAATTATTTTTAAAATATAATATTTTGTGATTGTAATTTACTGCCAAGTAGTATGATTTTTTTGTTATTGAAGTAAAATTGAATACTCATGATGAAACAAATATTTAATTGAAGTTTCAATATTACATGACATAAAAAATGTCCAAACATAACAAGGTACAACTATATTTATCATATTTTATAATGAAGTTCCTTCGATTAGGTATGTAAACAACCTATTCAAACGATATTGTATTAACATTCCTATTAGACTTCTTATGAGATGGATGTGAAGTTAGAAACTCGAAGCACCCTTTGAATAAGTTATCGTCTTGAATGTTCATAGTCCATATATATTACCAATTTCTTTTGAAGTATGATTATTAGATGAATGAGTTGTGGTTGTTGGCAGCGCATTTCGACACACCATGGCTTGTAGAGTGTCATTGAACAATGACACATAGTCTTTTTGTTTTAGTATTTGCTTTTTCTAATTCATCAATTATTCGAGAACCCATCTGAAATGAAGTTCATTAAGGTGACATTCACAATAAATAAAAGTATGACAATTGTTGTGTAAACAAATAGAATTGAAGTTTATCTAATGTAACAAATCAAAAACATAAATTAATGTAATATAATAAAGAAAATTCATAATGTCATCTAATATAGTCATCGAATATTATAGAACTTAATCATCTAAATGGTGCATAATTAAGTTAACATTATGATTGAGGTTAGCGAATTGTCAGTTCATGTCCAAGGATAAGTTGGCCAAGTTATCTTCAATACGCCGAACATGCCCCTACATTTGTTTTATATCTTGCATTTTGTGTTGTAAGTCTTGTATTCCCTCCCACATTTAAGTCATTATATGAGGATTTAAAGGATATAAAGGATGTTGTACAGGGTCGTCATGTTGAGGACTTTGATGATGTGGTTGTTCTTCCTCTTCATCATCACCGACGTCGTTCTGCCAAACTCCATTGACATTAACAATATTCAACCGCTTCAAAGAATTAGTAGAAAAATGTTGTTTGGTCTCAATTTGAGTATTGGCATCGATGTCAAATGTACTCCATTGTATGGTAGAGGTATATCACTAACCTTGCATTTAAGCATATGTTACATGATATGATGAGGTTAATTGATAGATATATTATTTTTAAGCACCCATAACATAAAGATAACTTCTTGCAACAATTTTGCGAAATTTCCAGCTCGCGGAGTCAATATATGCACAATAACATAATGCATAAGACTATCATTAATATTCAAACAACCAACAATATTAAGACTTGACCCTACATTTCTGGTCTGACCATAATAGCCAATGTCATTTCGCGATCATAGTGAAAGTCACTTGGTATATTTGCGAAAGACAATTTCTGACCCTCGTACTTGAGATGAGCAACATTGAACCAATCGGTTGGTTTAAATTTAATTCTTTTCTTGTTCACCTCACTCTGAAGATATTCATTGCTGAGATTCTTATATTTGAATAGAAGACTTTGATCAAATCCGAATAGAAGGATCACTCCAATCTCGCAAAATCTTATACTCCTTGAAAGACAAGGTGATGATGAAAATATAGGTTTGAAGTCCTAAATTATTCAAAATTCATAATTTTTGGAATCACAAAAATTTCTTGTATAAAAATCAATAGCGTAATGTTCCATCTGATGGATATCACTAAAGAAACAACATTGATGTAATACTTCTTCAATAGATGGCCTTGTATATGTAAGAGTGTTTGTCTCAGTTGTCGGTTCTTTTCCCTTACGAATTTTTTGTGTCTTTTTTTATGATGATGATGTCATTAAGCAATAACTTGAACATAACAAAACAATTAACACAACAAATGTCATAAGGATAATTTAATATTAATAGTAACAATTGAAGTAACAAAATGTAATAAGCATTAACACAACATTGGACAATATTAATAACAACAATATGATATTACAATACAAGGATGAGATAAAATGTTACAATAGAAATGCACCTAAGACTATTATACAAATAAAAAACCTAAGATTATTAAACACATAGACGGACTCAATTACCATCCACCATCATGTTACACAACTTATTCCATCTACGATGTGGGGGCAGTTTAATTAACTATTTTATGCATGCATGATTTGCACAGAGGAAATCATAACATTACTCCTTAAGTGTTTCGTCTTATATGTTCATTGTAGTCAACATTTTCCATATGTCGCCCTCCGTGTATTGGAAAGTAAGAGTACGATGCAAGATTTTATTTTGCTTCTCCATGACAATAACCTGTCGCTCAGCCATGTTTGATATTTTCTCAAAATGAACATTGTTGGATCCCATTACGTTCATGAAGCCATCGAGCTTGGTTGTCAACTTATCAAATTGGGAGTCCATTTGATCCACCATTAGTGCTTTTCTCTTTGAACCACGTGAGGATGACATGCCTCTAGATGGGCGGAAGGCACAAAATGAGTTGCCCCTGGACTGTACTCGTCCATAGTTGGAAGGGGTGGTGGAGTTAGGACTATAAACCCTGAAAAGACATGCTCTTCAGGAATGTATTCCATGTGCTCGTTAAGATCAACTTGTATATGAGCCTCTTGCCGAATTCGACATACCTGTCAAGCGGTCCAAACTCCACTCCTACTAGCACGATCAACGGCCCAAAGCTCCACCATTAGGTCATAGTATCTAATGGTAGTAATCCTCCACTTAGCCATAGATGGCCTTGCCTAAAATATAATGCAGAAATGATTAATAATTTAATAAATTGTTAACATTTGGTATAAGAAATCCAATTTTGAACATATGTAATTAATACCTTAATATGGTCATCCCAAACTTCTTCCTCTCCTTCAAATCTCATTGATGTTCCATTCTATGCAAATCCACTCAGTGACCTAAAGAGGTCATGCACCTTACGCCACTTGGCTTTCAAAACCTTTTGTCTATTTTTTACATTGTTTTTAGTAATAACAACATACCCATATGAATGAAGATTATCAACAATATTATTATAAGCTTAGGTTGTCCAGCTATTGTCAACCTTATTCCCTAAATGTGATTCATTGAGCATGGCATTAAGGAGTCATGCATCCATATCCTCGATCCATTTGATGAACTCCCTTATCCCACCAAACGACTTGGTCGCGATTGCCTTACCCCTATTCATTTTAAACATATTTCATAAACAAAACCTTAACAAGTTAAATTTAAACCTATTTCATAGTCAAACAACCCAATCAATTGCAAGTAATACGAGTTTTGATAATGTCGCCACATCTCATCTCCTATGAAATCCCTAATACTACTACCAAGCCTATAATCTTCTTCACGAACTTGAGATGATGTTATATGGTCTTCCCTTTCATTTAGTTCATTATCAACTTCATCAAGTAATGAGTCATCGTTATCCACGCCACAAATGAAGTTATGCAGGATACAACAAGCTAATATAATGTTTGTCATTGTATCCAAACCATAATGTGTTCAGTGCCACTAGTAATGATAGGGAACCTTTTTTTTCAACACATCAAATGTCCTTTCAATGACATTTCTCAAGGATGAATGACAGTGGTTAAAGAGTTCGCGTGGATTATGTAGTCCTCTACGTGTAAATTCCTTAAGGTGATATTTGGCGCCTCTATATGAAGTCATAATTGTTCCTTTCAACATAAATTCAGTGTCGTCAAGATAATACTTTCCTACTATTGTACATATAATGGTATTTAGTCACTAATAACCAAAACAATTAAGACTGCAATGAACACATTGACCTTCACAGATAACTAACGGATCATCTCGAGCAAGAGCATTCTTTAAAATTATTGAATCAGATGTTATACCTTCCCAACCAGCTAGAACGTACGTGGAAATCATATTGAAATCACACGTAACAAATACATTTTGAGTTGGCCAATCATATCGAAATCTGAGAGCATTTGATTTTGGAACCCTTACTCGAACATAAGTTCTATCTATGACCCTAAACAATCCTAGTCATAGAAATAAGAACTCATGAAAAAACTTAATAACATTAATGAACTTTGATAAAATTACATCTTAATAAGTGTTAAAATCAGTACCTTAAAGTATGGGTAAAATCGATTATTGTTCAGGACATATGGATGTACCTCATTTCTTTGGGGTTGAATTAAAAATTCAGATTCTAGACTTATAATAGTATCCAACACATTGTGAAAGTGTTTCCTAATGGTTAACCTAGATTGATGGAAGAAAAATGTCACACTTTGAATCTTAATGTTATGACCAATTATATGAAGAAATTTAACTACTTGTTCCTCCACTATTGATCGAATTGTGTCCTTAACTAAGCTAATTGTTCTTAGACTTTCACAAAGATTAATAAATGCCTCTTAACTCATCTGAATAATGTCTCGACACCGATTAATATACACAAGGTAGAACATTAACTGGTCCCTATGACGATCTTTGTCTGCTACGAAATCACTAACACTACTTGATGCACTCAAACACATGTTCAATATATTTAAGACATGTTTAACAATGTATAACATTATCTGTGCAACCATTGCAATGGTTATTTGGAATTTTCAATATAAGTTTGCGTCTATATTAAAATCTACACCAACTATATCATCCACGTTCCAAATAAGACAAATATAATTATTCTTCCATCTATATTTATTTAAACAAATATAAACATTATTACTAATATAACA